ACACTCCCAGCCTCGACGCACCCGGCACCCCAGCTCCTCAGCACCCCAGCGGCGCACTCTGTCCAACTCCATCCTGGACATCCAAGTCCTCCTCCTCCTCCGACCTTCCGAGACAGCGATCAATACTGACGCGTGGCCGGCTCAGGGAGGACGCGCCCCATTTATTATTGATGCTAATTAATATCTCCATCATCCTTCCTGGGGCGAGCCCTGGACTGGCCTCTTGGGGCCAGCGGGAGGTGAGTACCAGGGGGACATCACCGGCTGTTCGTGTTGACTCCGCTTCTCAGGGCAGGGGGCGCGAGCCAGGTGTGAGGGTCTGGAGGGGAGCCCCAATGAGCCCCCAGGAGCTGGAGGGGAGAAGGGCTTGCCTACAGCTTGGCGGTCACCCTGCTTGTGCCCTGCCTGCTGCCCGCCTCACCGCCCCTGCCACACCTCTGTGCCTCCGAGACAGATGTTCTGCACCAGCAGGGCAGAGCTGAGGGATCCAGCTCACCCGGCCAGGCTGAGTCCACTCCCATCGGCCTGGGGGCCCACAGCCCGGCTCCCCTCTTGTCTCTGGAAGACCTGTCCAGTCCTGCCTGGGGCACCTACCTCCCAGGTGGACACAGCCTCACAGTAGCTTCTGGTCCCTGCCAGTCCAGGCGGAAACCCGTCTCCCAGGCAACGGGATGCTCAGGCTCCGCCCTCAGAAAAACGCCTCTGGGGATTCCTGCAGGCCCCTCCTGTGGGCCACAGGCCACAGAAGCAAGGGGCACAAAGGACCGGGCACTCTGGGGCATGCGTCCTGCCTGTCGTCCCCCCATCTTCGTCCCCCTCTACACCCCCGGTGCATATCAGAAGCCCCAAAGGTACCAGGGTGCATCTGGCTCTTTCCAGACCTTGGGGCTCTCACTACATTTGGTTTAAGTGTCTTATTTATTTATTTTTGTTTCGGGTCACAACCAGCAATGCTCAGGGGTTACTCCTGGCTCTGCACTCAGAAATTACTCCCGGAAGTGCTCGGGGGACCCTATGGAAGCTGGGAATCAAACCCAGGTTGGCCGCGTGCAAGGAAAACGCCCTCCCCGCTGTGCTCCAGCCCCGTGTGTCTTATATTTTTAAAAAATTCCTTTTAGGGGCTGGAGTGATAGCACAGCGGGGAGGGCGTTTACCTTGCACGCAGCCAACATGGTCGACACAGGTTCGATTCCCAGCATCCCATATGATCCCCCTGAGCACCCCCGGGAGTGATTCCTGAGTGCATGAGCCAGGAGTAACCCCTGAGCATCGCCGGGTGTGACCCAAAAAGCAAAAAAAATAATTCCTTTTATTTCCCTTTGGGGGTCACCACTGGTGGAGCTCAGAGGATGCTCCCAGCTCACTTATGGGGTCATTTCCCGCATGCTGGGCTGTGAACCTCCATGCTCTCCCTCTGTCCACTGTGGGACTCAGTGCCTCCACAGCCCCTCTGGGCCGTGGTGAAGGGGCCTTGTGCCCCCACGAATGCTGCTTTGAGCCTCCCAGCTGGCCCCCAGGAGGTCACCATCTCCGTGAGGTTGGGCACTGTGCCCCCCAAATCCACCGCCGCCCCAATCAGGTGACTCCTTGGCAGGCAGGGTGTGGGGGCGCCTCCCCCAGATCTTCCCGTTCCGCTGACGCTGGCGCTATGATTTCTGGGTGCGTCAAACCTACATGAAGGGCTGCGACAGCCCTGGGCTGTACCCCAACCCCACGGAGCAGTGGCAAAGTGCACCAGGGGTTGAACCCAGGGCTGGGGAGCAGGCAGGGGGAGCCCCAGGGGAGTCGGGAGAGGCCCCGATTTACGCCTTCATCTGGCCCCTGGGAGCTGCCCCCAGGTCCGAGCCCGGCCAGCTCCCGGGGTCTCTCCATTGGAGCACCCCACTCCCACTGGGGACAGAGATGGAGCTGAGGTCTGGGGTCAGGCAGGCCTGGGCCCCCAGGGGCACTTACATCCGGGCTTGGAGCGCCTGAACCAGGGAGAAGGCAGCACTTCTGGACAGTGTGAGGCCCCCTGAGCCCTGAGGATCAGCTCTGGGGGTGCAGCACTCCAGGTGGAGCCTGGCCTGGAGGGGAGGGGATTCGAGAGGGGAGAGGAGAACCCCAGAAGTCATGAAACCCCTCAAGAAACTGGAGTTTAATTCTCTGCTGCTGGGCTCGGCAGCTTCTTGCCACCAGGCCCTGCGTCTGTCTGGTCTGCTGGCCGAGACCCCCTCCTTTGGTGGGAGGGGCCCCCAATTCCCTGAGTACCACAGGGGTTAGTGCCCAGGAAGGTTTGTTTGGGGTGGGGGGCCCACATCCAGCAGTGCTCAGGCTCACTCTGGCCCTGTGCTCAGGGATCACCGTCTGTGGGTGCTCGGGGGCCCTATGCAGTGTAGAGGATGGCTCCGGCTTGTGTGTGTGGTGGTTCTCATGTGCCACTCTTTATTTTCTTTTTGGGTGATGCCTGGCGATGCACAGGGGTTCCTCCTGGCTCTGCACTCAGGAATCACTCATGGCGGTGCTCGGGGGACCCAATGGGATGCTGGGAATTGAACCCGGGTCGGCTACGTGCAAAGCAAATGCCCTATCCGCTGTGCTATCGCTCCAGCCCCTCAGGTGCCACTCTTGGCATCATCCAGGGCACTGGTATGTTCATGCCTGTCTCTGGTGCTGGCGATAGAGGTGGATCTACCACAAGCAAAGCTCACCACAGCTGTTTCTCCAGACTTCTCCTTCCTCCCTCCCTCCCTCCCTCCCTCTCTCTCTCTCTCTTTCTCTCTCTCTCTTCGATTTTGGGCCACACCCAGTGATGCTCTAGGGTTAGCTCCTGGCTCTGAGCTCAGGGGTCACACCTGCTGGTGCTCAGGGCACCCTATGGGATGCTAGGGCTGGAACCCAGGTTGGCTGCGTGAAGGCCAACGTCTTCCCAGCTGAGCTGTGGTCTTTTCCAATACCACAGAACAAGGGGGCAGGTGGAGGAGACAGCGGAGGGAGTGGAGGCAGTCGGGGGCCAGGGGGTGCTGTCCCCACACTGGGGCCTAGGGCTTGCCTGGTGGCCCCTGATCATTCCTCCTCCTGGCGCGATACAACCTGCCCTGGGGGTCCTGGGGGACGGGAACGCAGCCCCTGTGTGGCCCTCACGGCAGAGCGTGCGCAGAGCCCCTGCCCCCGGCAGGAGGGACCAGGAGCGGCGGCTCTTCTCCACGTGCCCTGAGCCTCGAAAGACCCGTGGGCGCTCAGGGCAGAGGGCAGCGCACGGGCGGAGGCCTTGCACGCAGCCCACCCGGGTTCGATCCCGCCCGGCCAGTGACCCCGGAGCTCAGCGCCGGGACTAAGCCCTGAGCGCCGCCGGGTGCGGCCCCAAACAAGCCAACAAAAACCCAAACGCCGAAGGGCAGAGGGCAGGCCCCCCCAGGCCCCCCGAGGCCCGAGCCCGAGGCCGAACTACACTACCCAGGATTCCCGGGGCCGGCCGAAGAGGAAATGTCGTTGGTGCGGGGGGGGGGGGCGGAGGCTCGGCGCCCCCGGCAGCTGCGGCGAGCCAGGGCCGCGGGGGGAGCGGGGGCGGGCGCGAGGGTGGAGAGCTGGGCGGGCGGCGGGGAGGAGGCGGCACCCGCCGCCGCGCCCGCCCGCCGCCGGCGAACCTGCATCCCCGCGGGGCGAGCGCGCGCGGCGGCTGCGGGGCGGACGCGGGGCCGGGCCGGCGCGGGGCCGAGTTTCTGCAAAGTTTGACCTGGTTGCCTTTCCGATGCTGCGGCAGAGCGGGGCGGCGCGGGGCGCGCCCGGGGCTGCGGCGCGGCGGCGGGGCTGAGCGGCGGGGCGCGCTCACCATGATCGTGAAATAAAGGCGGCGCGCGGGGTGGGGGCGAGCCAGCCCCGAGCCTCCCCCGCGCCGCCGCCGACCCCCGGCCCGGCCCGAGGACGCTGCCGGGCGCCGGGGCGGGGGCGCGCCAGGACGTGCCCGCGGCGGGGGGCGGGCGCCGGAGCGGCCCGAGGGGCAGGTGAGTGGCCGGCCCCGCCCGGCCGGGGGCGTGCGCCCAAGTTGCCGGGTCCGCGCGGGGCCGCGGCGGGTGCGGGGACCCGGGGGTCGCCGCGCGCTCGGGGGGCAACCCGGGCCGGGGCGCGCGCGGCCGGCGGGGCCGGCGGGGAGGCGCTGCGCCCCGGGCCCGGGCCGGGGAGGCCACTGCGGACCCCCGGCCGCCCTGCCGGCGCAGCCCGGGCCGCGCGGGTGTCAGCGGAGATGTCACGGGCGGCGATTATTCGCTGGTGCGCGCCGCGGCGCGGCCGCCACTGACGGGGCGGGCGGGGTGGGGGGCGCCGCCTCCGGGGAGACCGCCCAGCGCCGCGCGCTCAGCCCCGCAGCCCGCGCCCCCCGCAGCAAAGTTCCGCTCAACTTCGGGCGGGCCCTGACCGCGCCGTGTCCCTTCCACCTCCCACCAGGTCCTCGGCGGCCGCGGCGACAGCGGCGAGGGGACGCAGCGCGCCCGCCAGTGGGCGCCGTCGGGGACCCGCAACGCCGCGCTCCCCCGGGACCCCGCGGGCGGCCCGCGCCGGGCTCGCGCCCCCGGGCAGCGGCGGGTGGGCGCCGGACCCCGCGCGCCCCGGGCGGAAGCCTCGCGCCCGGTGACTGGGCCGGGCGGGCGCGGGGCGCGGGCAGCGGGGTCCCCGCGGCGAGGGTGGCGGCCCCGCGCGCCGCGCCGGGCGCTCCCGACTGCCGCGCGTGCCGGGCGGCGCCGGCAGGACCCCCGGCAGGACCCCCGGACTGGAGCCAGCGGCTCCCAGCTGCGGTCCCCGCGCGGCGCGCAGGAGGCACGGAGCGGCGGGACGTCGGCGAACATGATTCTCCACTGACCTCCAAACTTTTGCCTTTTTTTCTAAACCCAAAGAATATCGGTGATTCTTAGCCACTGCGAGCGGCAGCAGAGAACGGCCCGCCGGGGCTCCTGAAATGCAGCAAAATCCTTATTTCTAAGCAGGCCCGCTGCGCTCGGAGACGCCTCTGTCCCGCCCTCCCGACCGGAGCCGAGTCCCCGCCGCGGCGCTGGGTCCCGCAGCCACCACCCTTTCAATGCCCAGTCTGCTCTGGGACTGGGGGCCGTCGCTGGAGATCAGAGCCTTGCTGTTGGCCATGGGCTGTATCCAGAGCATCGGGGACAAGGCCAGGGTCTTCCGGGAAGGCATCACCGTGACGGATGTGAAGGCGTCCATCGACCCCGTCCCCACCAGCATCGACGAATCCTCCAGCGTGGTGCTCCGCTACCGGACTCCCCACTTCCGGGCCTCGGCCCAGGTCATCATGCCGCCTATCCCCAGGAAGGAGACGTGGGTCGTGGGCTGGATCCAGGCCTGCAGCCACATGGAATTCTACAACCACTATGGGGACCAGGGCATGTGAGTACGGCTCAGGAGCCGCTGGGGGGCCGGGGTGGGGGCTTCGGGCAGGGGCTCACACCGTTAGACCCTCCTTCCCTCTCTGTCCCCGGGATTTGGCCTCTCAGATGCCAAGAAGGCAGCTGGGGTGGGTGACTGAATGGGCCTCGCTGTGCTCGGGGCCACCGCACACATCCGGTGGGCACCGCAGGCTGCGGAGACCCTAGGGGGTACCCAGAATTGTTGGCGTCCTTCCTGTGTTGGGTCTGGACTGTCTCTGGTATTTGAGGTACACAGTGGAATTGGGGAGGGGTGCGTGCAGGGTGCTTTGCTGTCCGGACGCTCTTGGTGGGCGAGTGTGCCTGCTTCTGGGTCCAGCTCCCTCTTCTGGGAGCCAGGGGCCACCCGCTATGGCCGCCCCCACCAGCTTGGTTGGGCCTGGCCGGGGAGGCTCCCACAGGCCTCCAGAATGTTCCTGGATCACATAGAGATTCCTGTGATGGAGTCTGGAATTCTGGATCTTTCCTGCCAGGTCCCCTGGCCCTCGAGGTGGCCCCCGGAGGGGTGACACGGCTGGGACAGTTTGCTTGCTCCCTCTCAGCCCCAGCCAGGAGCGGCTGGAGGCCCCCAGGTCTTCCTGCGCCCCCCTTAGACTGGTGCAGGCAGTGCCCCCCCCCCCCCCCCCCCCCCCCCCCCCCGTCCCCCTCACTTCCTGGTTCTGGTGGGGAGAAGAGAGTGGAGAAAATAGCCTGGGGCTGCCTGGGATGCCCCCAGGACTGCAGAACAGGGTCGCCCCCAGGGTGCGTGCCCACAAGGACACCCCCACTCCTGCTCCCAGCCTGGCTGCTGCCCCCTCCTGGGCCAGTGGCTGTGAATCCAGCTGTGTGGGCACACATCCTTCCGCTCCGGTGAGAGCACCGGGACCCCTCCCGTTGGCGGGGGCAGTGGTTCCCCTGGGTTCCTGGAGACCAGCACCCCCCAAAGCAGGGCAGAGGAGACGGTTGGTGGACACTTGCATGGGTGCTGGGGGGCCGGAAGATGGGGGGCACGCTCGCGGGGGCACTACGCTGGCTGAGGTGACAAGACCCATGTGGATGGCGCAGGCCTGGCTGCAGCCTCTGCACCCCCCCCTCACCCCAGACCTGGGGCTTGCAGAGGTGTTTGCGGCCCCCAGATGACCTTTGCTGTCGGTTCCTGGTGGGAGGAAGCTCCGTGCTCGCGGCACAGGCGAGTGGGACTGGGCGTGAGGCCAGGCGCTGCCACCGTCCCGGACGTCGCTGTGGCCACTTGACCCTCTGCCCCCTCACTCGCACTCTGGGGCCAGAGCTCGGCCCTGGGGCTTCCTGGGAGGATCAGGATGGGCACGGGGCCAGGCCCGCAGGGCTGCGGGCCACGGCCGAGGTGAGACTGGAGGTGGCCGGCGTGTGGGTCAGGAGGAGAAGCTGCTGCTTCCTCCTCTGCCTCGGACCCACTTCCGGCACGGCAGACGGGGCCTTCCCTCGTTCTCTGTTTCTCTGTCCCGTCCCCTCCAGGAAGAGGCCCCTCTTCCTGCTCGGGCCCCCGTGTCCCAGTGCGGAGACAAGGCAGGGCCTGGGGGCAGTGGCCCTGAAGGGTCAGGGTATGGGATACGAGCAGAAAGGGGTGGGTCTGGGAGCGGGTCAGAGGTCAGAGATTGGGGGGGGGAGCGTTCAAGGCCTAAGAGAGGGTCAGAGGTGTGAGAGGGTCAGTCTGCAGGGGTGAGTCATTGACCCCCGAAGGCCATGGGCGGTGCTGGTCTCCAGCACCCCAGGAATGGGTGGGGCGCACTAGAAAGGCTGCCTGGCCCCGACACCCCCCCACCCCCGGCCCGGAGATCTTGTCACTTGGTGTGACCCCAAGATCCCTCCCCACCCCCAAGGCAGATCTTTCCAGTCCTTGTTCCCCCTTTGCAGGGCCACATGGAACCAGGGCCCCGGGACTCATGGGGCGTCTCCGGGGGCTGAGGGGCTGTGAGGTGCCAGTTCAGACACAGGGCATGGGTGTGTTGGGCATCGTGGTGCCACTTGAGCCCCACCTAGTTTTTTTTGGGGGGGTCATACCCAGCGATGCTCAGCGGTTCCTCCTGGCTCTGCACTCAGGAATTACTCCTGGCGGTGCTCGGGGGACCATATGGGATGCTGGGAATCGAACCCAGGTCGGCCGCGTGCAAGGCAAACGCCCTCCCTGCTGTGCTATCGCTCCAGCCCCACCCCCTAAGTTCTTTTTCTGAGTTTCTGTTTGCTTGGAGGCCACACCTGCCTGTTTTGGGGGCTGCTTGCGGGTCAGGGGCGCTGGGTGCCGGGTTCCGAGGTGCCTGCTGGCTGTGTGTGTGTTCCAGGCAGCCCTTCGAGCACCTGTTCTGGCTTTTTTTGTTCTTTTTTGTTTTCTGGGGTCACTCCCGGTGGGGCTCGGGGATCCCTGTGTGGCGCCAGGGATCAAACCTGGGTTGGCCGTGGGTGAGACGAGAACTTTACCTGCTGGGCTATCCTTCCAGCACTTCGGATATTTTTGTTTTTGTTCTTGGGCCACACTTGGCGATGCTCAGGGGTTACTCCTGGCTCTGTGTTCAGGAATTACTCCTGGCAGTGCCTCGGGTACAGTATGGGATGCTGGGTTGGTCTCGATGCGTGGCAAGCGCCCTACCCACTGTGCTATCACTCCGGCCACCAGCACTTCTGGTTTTTGTTTGTTTGGGAGACACACCTGGCAATGTTCAGGGCTGACTCCTGGCTCTGTGCTCAGGGCTGACTCCTGGCAGTGCTTGGGGAATCATAGGGGCTTGAACCCAGGTCAGCCACGTGCAGGCGAGTGCCCTCCCTGATGTACTATCGCTCTGGCCGCAGCTGGTGGTGTGGAGGGAGGAGTGGGGGTGGGCAGGGGGAGGGGGCCCCCACCAAGGGGGTGGGCAGGGGGAGGGGGCCAGGGCGCAGCAGTTGTGCAGAGCAGATGCCAGTTTCTGGGGCACCATGCCAGGAGCCACGTAACTGACCACCCTGGGGGGGGGGGCAGTGCGGCCACCCCTGGCTGAGAACCGCTGGACAGATGGCTTGAGGGCCTGACATTCCAGCACGACACTCGTCACGGGAGGGGTGGCAGGTGGCGAGGCTTCGTCAGGGCCCTGGGCTTGGATTAAAAATATTAATCTCCAATCCTTAGTCCAGATCCCGAATATCCCCAACATGACTCCTGCCCGAGATGATCCCCCGGGAGGGGACCCCCACCCTCGTGGCCCGTGCCCTGTGGTCTGGGACCCCACCCCCCCCAGGACCCACACAGCCACCCCGCAGCTGGCGAGACCCACGCCCCGTCTGTGGATGTCCCAACTCCCCAGCCCCAGTGACAGGGACAGGCAGCGTATCCCCCGCTCGCCTCTGCCGAGGCCCCGGAACCAGGCCAACACCACTCTGGGGCTCTGGATCCAGCCAAGGGCGGGGGAGGGGCGGGCTGGCCTGGCGCAGCCAGGTGTGACCCCAGCCCCTTTGTGGACCCCAAGCCCTGCCTGGGGGATCCCTGAGCACTCCTGGCAGTGGCCCCGAAACTAAAAGCCAAAAGTTTAAAAAGGAAGAGGAGAGAGAGGCCTCGATAGCCACCGGCTGCACCCCCTCTCACAGCACGGGCTCCGCCCTGTGCCTCAGTGTCCCCTCTGTGAAAGGGGGCTGAGGCTGAGGGTCTCTCTCCACAAGCTCATTGTGGGCTCTGCGGGGAGTCGAGACCCCTCCCTGTGGCCACCTCCTCCCGGCATGCGGGCACCAGCCTCGGGAAGACCACCTCCAGGCTGGCTACCGATCCTGCCCCGGTAGCCTCAGCGAGGGAGCCACTGGCCAGGGAGGCGGGTACGCTCCAGCCGGCCCTGGGGAACAGGCCAGGACCACGTGGCTGCTTCCTGCGCCGGCCTCGTCCACGCAGAACAATCAAGGAGGTGCTTCCTGCCCAGGCCAGCAAGGCCCCCCACTGCTGGGCTCTGGGGGGTGGCACCGGGAAGCCTCATTTCCAGTCCTGGGGGAGGAGGAAGTAGGGGGGGGCAACCTCACCCGCAGCCGCCCTCCACGGGCCCAGACAAAAGGTGGAAGACGGCGGCGGTGGTGCCGGGGAAGCGGACGTGAGCCTCGGAACCATTTCCTTGCGCTCAGGCCGGGGAACGCAGAGGTCAGGGTGGAGGGTGGACACCGGCTGGGAGGGCCTGTTCCCGCCGCTGCTGGGAGGTGGGTCTGGCCGGTGCTGGTCTCAGTGTGGGGGATGCTGGTCCCGCCACGTGGTGTGTGGCCGCTGGGCGTGCCCAACCCGGTCTCCAGGACGCATGGGGTGAGAGGCTGAGCCTCAGCGGGGCGACCCCTCATCTGCCCAGGGATGTGTCCTCCTGAGCCTGGGCAGCAGACGCGGGCCAGGCCAGGCCAGGCCACACACGGGCCCGACTGCGGCATGTTTTCCCAAAAGCTGTAGAATCCACAGTGTGAGAAACTAACCTGCTTTCGTTCCCAAGATGCTGCCCTAAGCCAGAACTTGAGTCTTATCCTGTGCCTGGCGGGCTGGGGGCTGCCTTTCCTCTCCCCCTCGAAACCCGCCTCGCTTACGGCTTCAAATCAGGCAGAGGCCAAAGCAACCCCGAAGCTCTGCCTTCTCGGTCCTCGCGACCTAGGTGCAGAGGGCGGAAGAGGGGGTCCCCGGAAGCCGTGTGGTTGGCTATTTGGCCAGGAGGGGATACCACCAGTTCCTCCCTGAGGCTTTGTGACTCATTTGGTGTGGGTTGGGGACCGCATGGGGCATGGTCAGGGACCCTTGACCCTGCTCTTGTGTTTTTGTTTTTGTTTTTTGAGGGGTCACACCCAGCAATGCTCAGGGATATACTCCTGGCTCTGCACTCAGGAATCACTCCTAGTAGGGCTTGGGGGACCATAGGGATCGAACCCGGGTCTGCTGCATGCAAGGCAAATACCCTCCCCACTGTCCCTTCCATCCAATATATGATATGCATGGGTTTGTTTTTGTTTTCTGGGGGGGGGTCACACCAGCAGTGCTTAGGGATTATTCGTTGCTCTGTATTCAGGGATCACTACTGGTAGTGTTTAGGGGACCATTGTCATGCTGGGGATAGAACCCGGGTTGGCTGCATGCAAGGCAAACGCCCTCCCGACTCTGCTATCGCTCTGGTCTCTTGTTTTATGTAAAACTAAAGGATTTTACAGAATCCCAACTTCTTGTGAAATATAAGTGCAAGGTCTGTAACCTGGAGTCAGGTGTAGCTTTGAGGTGTCCGCCTTCCCCGGGGGGTCAGGGACGTGCCAGAGGGCAGCAGGGTGGTGGCAAGACGCTGTCTCAGCCTCCAGCTGACCTGCACATGCTTGGGCTTCTCCAGGGATTAGAAGCAGCATCTCCTGAGCTCACTCAGGCCGGAGGCCATGAGGACTTGATTTATTTGGTCTTTGGGCCCCACCCAGCAGTGCTCAGAGCTTGCTCTGGCCCTGTGCTCTGGGACCACTCCTGGCGGGGTTTGGGGGACCATGTACGGTTCTGGGTATGGAACCCAGTTTGGCCGTGTGTATAGCAAGTGGTTTAGCCAGTGCACCCAGTCCCCCAAATGAAGCATTTGTTTGTGCCAGGGAAGTACCGGTGGTACCTTGTCCCCCATATCTGCTCTCTTATGGTTTTTCTTTTTGGGGGGGCGCACAGCTGCTGAGGCTTGGGTTACTCCTGGCTCAGGAATCAGGGGTTGAGCCTGGGTCGGCCACCTGCAGGGCACAGGCCCTCCCACTGTGCCATCTCCCCAGCCCCTCCTCTGACACGGGCCCTTAAGAAAAACCCAGTGGAGGGGCCGGAGCCATACTGCAGCGGGGAGGGAGCTTGCCGACCCGGGTTCAATCCCCCGCATTCCATACTGTACCCCAGCACCTCTGGGAGTGATTCTTGAGTGCAAGCCCTGAGCACTGCCAGATGTGGCCTAAAAACCAGGAAAAAGAAAGAAAAACCCAGTGGAGTGAGGTTTTGCACAGAGGGCAGGGGTGGGTGGTGGGCTCTGTTATGTGGGTGACCGACCATGGGGCACCCCTTGGGGTGTGTTGGGGAGTCAGCCTCCAGCCTGCCACCCTCTGCTTCTGGTCCCTTGAGGGCGGGTGGAAGTATGGGGGGCTGACCCCTTCCCTGAGGGAGGCCCGTCTCCCCCTCTGGTCCCTGTCTTGAACCCCTTGCCCTGGGAGGAGAAGGCTTCAGCTTTATACCACTCAGGGACCCCATGTCCTGTGGCCAGTTGTGCCTGAAGGACACTGAACAGGAGGACGTGGGCGGCACCTTTGAGGCCCAAGGAGGCAGCAGGCGCAGTGGGGCCTGGGGCAGCTGGGGCTGAGTCTGGACCCGGTTGAGGGTCTCACACCAGTGATGTGGCCAAAGACCAGCGGGTCTGTGTGTGTGTGTGTGTGTGTGTGTGTGTCTGTGTATCTCTGTGTGTGTATTTGTGTGTGTGTGTCTATGTATCTGTGTGTGTCTGTGTATCTCTGTGTGTGTATCTGTGTGTGTCTGTGTATCTGTGTGTTTGTCTGTGTATCTGTTTGTGTATGTGTATGTTTGTGGGGGGGTCCCCATCAAGGCAGCCTGGCATCTACTCCCAGCCCAGGGGGCCAGCCCCGAGTCCCCAGCAGGACAAAGCCAGGGGAGCATTTTCCCAGATTTGGGGGCCATCCCACAGGAGTCAAGGCCCAGCAGTCCTGCTCTGCAGACATGCACAAGCTCTGCACAGCTGCACACGCTCAGCTAACGCGCACACGCTCCACAGACACGTACACTCTGCAGACACACATGCTTCAGACACGCACATGCTCAGCTGACATGCATATGTTCCTCAGAGATGCACACACTCCACAGACACGCACACACTCTGCAGACACATACATGCTCCGCAGACACACACATATGCTCACAGACACACACGCTCACAAACACACTTGCTCACAGACACACACGCTCGCAGACACACATGCTCGGCAGGCATGCACACTCTCAGACACGCACACACTCACAGACACACACACGCTCACAGACACACACGCTCTGCAGACACACACGCTCGGCAGGCACGCACACACAGACACACACACGCTTGCAGACACTCATGCTCTGCATACACACGCGCGCTCGGCAGGCATGCAGTTCTCTCCCCTTCTAGGCGGTATCGGAGAGCCAGAGAAAGAGGAGTGTGCATGGGGAGGAAAGGGCTTTTGCCCGCCCCCACTCCCGTGCCCCTGAGTTGCTGCCTTAGTCCAGGGCGGGGTGGGGGGCAGGACCTCCCCACAGTGAAGGTGTCGGAGGGTTGGTGAGGCTGGACCCCTCCCAGGTGAGTCTGAGACTCGGTCGGGGTGTGCCGGGAAGCCCTCAGTAGGGTGGTTGGGCCTTGGAGGCCCCCAGGGAGCAGGGCCCACTCGCCTGCTCCATGCCCAGGAGACCCCCCTTGCCCCCCCCGCACGCTGGTGCTCCCGAGGGCTGTCCTGGTCGGGTCCCAGGACATAGGCTGTGTCCCACAGTGGAGAGGGTGCCCTATTCCTGCCTGCAGGCACGTGCAGTGGGGACCCGGCCCATCAAAACTGGGAGTTGAATGCCAGAGCAATGGTACAGCGGGGAGGGCATCTGCCTTGCAGGCAGCCGACCTGGGTCCAAGCCCTGGCATCCTAGAGGGTCCCCCGACCCCGCCAGGAGTGAGCCCTGAGTGCAGAGCCAGGAGTAAACCCTTAGCACTAGCAGGTGTGGTCCCCCCAAAAAACAAAGCAAGCAAAATAAAGCGCGAGGAGAGGACATGGAGAGAGATCCTGCATCAACAGGTGCAGGGGCCAGAGCTATAGTACAGAGGGGAGGGCCTCTGCCTGGCATGCAGCCGACCTGGATTCAATCCCCGGCACCCCATATGGTCCCCCGAGCCCCGGCAGGGCTGAAATCTGAGTGCAGAACCAGGAGTAACCCCTGAGCATCATGGGGTGTGACCCCAAAAGCAGAATAAATAAAAAACTCTCAAATAGGGGTGCTTAAGAGGAGAAACGGAAATCCGAGTAGAAAGTAAATGAAATGGGGCGGGGATGGAGGTGGGCAGTGGGCTGCAGCTCTCCAGGGAGTCCCTGCTGGGGGGCACCCACAGGACACTGGGTGGGTGTGTCCGGCCCACACTTGGGGGCTGGGGCGGCCGCTGGGGACACAGCAGAGCTTTCTGGATGGCTGAGCGCGGGTGGCCCCTCCGTCCGCAGGTCCAGCTGGGAGCTCCCGGACCTGCAGGAGGGCAGGATCGAGGCCATCAGTGACTCGGACGGCGTGAACTACCCCTGGTACGGCAACACCACGGAGACGTGCACCATCGTGGGCCCCACCCGGAGGGACTCCAAGTTCATCATCAGCATGAACGACAACTTCTACCCCAGCGTCACGTGGGCCGTGCCCGTCAGCGAGAGCAACGTGGCCAGGCTGACCAAGATCTACCGCAACCAGAGCTTCACCACGTGGCTGGTGGCCACCAACACGGCCACCGACGACATGCTCATCCTGCAGACGCTGCACTGGCGCATGAAGCTGAACATCGAGGTCAACCCCAGCCGGCCCCTGGGGCAGCGCGCCCGCCTGCGGGAGCCCATCGCGCAGGACCAGCCCAAGATCCTGAGCAGCAACGAGCCCATCCCGCCCAGCGCGCTCGTCAAGCCCAACGCCAACGACGCTCAGGTCCTCATGTGGCGGCCCAAGTATGGGCAGCCGATGGTGGTGATCCCCCCCAAGCACCGGTGACGGCCCTGCCCCGCCCCCGCGGACCCCCGGCCATTCAGCAGAATACAACCATTCTACCTTCCGAGGGCGATCTCACGGCGCTGAGAGCCCCCCGCGGGGCGGCCCGCGGCCCCCCAAAGCACCCCTGCACCCTCCCCGCCCCTCCTCCCTGCAACGTGCTCCCCGGAAAAACGGCTTCTCCACTTCTCTTTATTTGCTCCCAGCCTCCTCCTGAGGCCGCGGCCGGCCGGTCGGTCGGGGGTGATGACGAGACCCCCACCCCCTCCCCCGCCAACGGCCTCTCCCCCCTCCCTCATGCGGCCTTACGTAGACTTGCTTTGCCAAACTTTTGCCTTAAGCTGAATTTAAAGGAAAAAGCAACCCACCACCACGGACAGACGGGCTAGCTGGGTCCCCTCCACCCAGCTCTGCAAGCTTTGCAGGGATGGGGCTGGGGGAGCCGGTCCGGGTGGAGGGGTGCTGGGTACCCCCAGACCAGCCGCTTCTTTAGTTTCAGCTATGAAACCACAGACTCGAACGCGCCCTCTCTCGCTTTGACACCCCTGCCCTGCCCCCCCCCATGGAGAAGGGCTGAGCTCCCCTAGGGGCACCTCCACCAGGGAGCCCCCCCCTTCCCAGCAGCCTTAACTTGCCTCGGTGGGCCTGGGAGGTGGGGGGTCCGGACTGTCTGTCCTGTGTGCACCTGCCGGCCTGGGTGGGCTCAGCGGGAGTTCCAGGGCAGGCTGCCGGAAGTGAGGGGCCGGGGACGGCCCCCAGGAGAGGCCTTGCTGGGGACCCCCTCCCCATCCCGTACTTTTCTCCAGGGATAGATCTCCGAGGCCCGGACCGGGGCTGAGGGGCTGGGGAGGGGGGTGTGGGGCAGCGTGGGCCGGCCGGGGGCACCCAGCATCGCCATCCTGGAGCTTTAAGGGGCACCCCTGCCCATGTCCACTCTCTGCTTGCCCTCAGAACTGCTTTCCCCTCGGAAGCCGCGAAGGTGCCCCTGCCCCTCGCTTGTGGGTGGAGGAGGCGGTCGCGGCTCCTCCCCCCACGTGGTAGTGGACGCCTTAAAGGGTGCTCGGCGCAGCCCACCGCTGCCCCCACCTCATCCTGGGGTCCTGGGTGGACGCTGGGCCCGAGGCCCCGCATGGGCGCCTGGTGCTTGGGGACGCCCCTCCGCTGGGCCAGGACACTGCCGGTCCCCTTGGTGTGTGCTGGGCTGGGGCTGCCACCCGGAGAAGCCCTGGGGGGAACCAGGGGGTCCCCACTCCCCTTTGGCTCCCCGGGGAGGGGGCTCTTCTCTGCACTCAGGTCTTTCACGCGCTGGAAAAAGGGGGCTCAGGAGGTCGAGATCAGGGCGGGGGTGGCAGTGTCGAAGGACAGACAGTAGGTGACCCTGAGCTCTTGGGGGCAGCCGGCTTGGGTCCCCCTGGGGGACAGTGCTGCTCTGACTGCCCCGCCCCCTGGCTGCAGGCCCCGCCCCGCCCACAGGCCACGCCCCTCCCGAGTCCCGCCTTCTCCGAGGAACCTGGGGGCTCCCCCCCCACCGCGGGGTCAGTCCGTGGGCGCCCCGGGGTTCCCGTCCCAGTCCCTGGCCTGCAGCCTCCAGCAATAAGGACCGCCCCGGCCTGGAAACTACTGTGAAACGAGCCGCCGTTCTTACCGCCGGACTCTCGAAAACGTGCAAAATGAACTGTTGTTTTTTTAAAAAAGCATTCAGAAAAAGAAATAAAATATAATTTTAAAGTAGGCCTGGCTCGGGACTGGCAGTTTCTGAATGTCGGTTTTCTGGGGGTTGGAGGGCCCCGGGAGTGAGTGGACAGAGGGGTGGAGGGCAGCTTTTGGGCGGGCGATGGGGGGTCCTCGGGGAAACACCCTGGGCAGAACCTTCCTGGGAAGGCAGGAGGTGGTGCCTGAGTGGACCCAGGATTGAGGCTCCCGGTGTGCGTTTGGGGGTGCGTGAGGCCTCCCGGGGAGAGTGGGTCCCCAGGGCGCCCCAGCTGACTGGCTTGTTTCACTTTTCCCCAGAGCTCCATCTTGCAGAAGGGCAAACTGAGGACTCGAGCCAGGCCCCAAGCTCCACCCCCAAAGCCGGGCACACTGCACCCCGGTGGGTTGATCCCAGGGCCCCCCCTCCTGCCTGCCGGGCAGGGCAGAGGCCCCGGCTGGTCCTGGAGGACCCCAGGCCCGGGGATCGCCTCCTCGTGTGGCCCGGCCGCCCAGCACCCCAACAGTCGCCCACATCCTGTGTGCTGGGCTGAGACGTGGCAGGAAATTGCATAAGAGGCTGCAGCCCGCTGGCTGCCAGGCCGGGCGTTTCAGGGGGCGCTGGCCAGCAGGAGACCACAGCAGGGGTGGGGTGCGGGGTGGGTGTGAGCAGGACCGGGTACAGGAGATTGTAGGGCCATATCCCCGGGAGAGAAGGCTAAGTCACCATGCCGTTTCCAGGCCTGAGCAGGCTGGGGTCGGGGCAGGTGGGGGAGGACAGGAGGAGGGTGGGGAGGAGGGTGAGTGGGATGGTGGAAGATGATGGGAGCACGGATGGTGGAAGATGATGAGAGGGAGGCTGGTGAGAGGAGGATGGGGGAAAGGAGGGTGCTGGGGGAGGGGAGGAAGGTGGGGAGGAATAAGTTGGGGGGAGGGGGTGGGGGAAGGGAGGAGGGGCTGGAGGAGGGACAAGGGTGGTGGGAGGAGGGTGCGGGTGGCTCCCTACTGGCATGGTGCCCCCGTGGAAGCCCTTTGGCCGGCTCGGCTGACAGCAGGTTAAATTTAGACGCCCCAGACGAGCTGAGACATGCCACACTGGCTGCCACGAGCCCCATTCGGGCCGGACACAGGCCTGCTGGAGTCCAGCAAGGAGCGGGCTCAGGTGCTCCCACAGGGCAGGGCCTCCCACCGTGTCCTGCTGCCTCAGCCTCGGCTTCTCCTGCTGGGTGCCCAGAGAAGCTGCTTCCCACACAAGGGGGGCAGGACATTAAGGCACAAGCTGCATGCACTCACGCATATGCACGCACACACACACATGCACACACGCACACACATGCATTCATGCACACAATGCACAAATGCACACCATGGACACACGCACGCGTAAATGCACACCATGGGCACACGCATGCACAGATGCACACATGCACGTGTACACATGCACGCACACATGCACCCCCACTCAGTTTGTGTACACATACTTGTATGTGCTTACACAATGCATGTGCACACGCGCACACATCTGCATAGGCAGAACATGCACACGCACACACACACACACCCCAGTGACTCGGTGGAAAAACAGACAAGCTCCACATGGCCTCAGTGGCCACGCTGTCCAGACCGCTGACGCCCACTGTGCTCTGGTCAGGGGAGGGACAGGCGAGTGAGAGAACCATGCCTGTGGCCCCTGCCCCGCCCCTGCCCCCGGCCAGTGCCGCCAGCATGGTGCCAACAGGCCCTGGCACTTTGGCTCAGTTGCGAGGGAACGTGCAGCCAGCCAGGGCCCAGCTCCCGTCCGGCCAGGGCCCTCCCAGGGTCCCTGCCGGCTGGACCGCACCCGGGGTCCCCCTGCTGGCCTGAGCCCCGCTTAGGATTCCTTTGTGGTGACAGATGCGGGAGCACACAGAGACCATGGCAGGCGAGGGGAAGTCCAGGTCCCAGAGTCCCCGGGGCCGCGGGTCACTAAGCCCCAGCCAGCCTGGCACAGCGTGGCGTCGGGTCCCAGGGTTCAGGGTGCAGGTGGAGGAGTGAGATCTCAGGTCAAGAGTGCTAGGACAGACCCCAGAGGCCTCTGTCACCTGCACCCCTCCCCCACAGTGTGGACGGCTCAGAAGTCAGACAGCTGGGTCTCACGTGCAGCTCAGGGGGAGAGAGAGAGGGAGGGAAAGAGACAGAGAGAGGGAGAGAGAACAGAGAGGGAGGAGGAGGGAGAGAGAGGGAGAGAGCAAGTGAGAGCACACAGTGGGGAGGCTGCTAGCCTGCCTTACGCTTGGCTGACCCGGGTTCGATCCCCGGCATCCCACCAGGTCCCCCAAGCCTGCCAGGAGTGATTCCTGAGAGCAGAGCCCCCAAACAAACAAAAAGCACAGTTCAGGGGACACAGCACACGCTGTTCCTCCGCCGGCCGCACCTCTAGCTGCCTCTGATGCTCAGATGGGACTGGCGGGTGGGGCTGGACCCCCTGAGGGGACTCGGGGGGGGTGGTTTGCTGGGGCACAGGAGTGGGGCCAGGGCACACTCCCTGCAGGGTGCAGGGGGAGGCACTCAGCATGGGGAGCGTCCAGCCGTGGGGCTCCCACCCGACAGCGAGGCAGCGTTTTGTCCCCAGGAAGTGTGGCAACTCTGACACAAGGGCTGTCGCCCCCGGCCACCTACCTGTGCCCTGGGCAGGGAGATGAGGAGGAGCGCGTGGCCAGAGCCTGCTCCAGGCTGCAAAGAAGGGGGAGAAAAGCCACGAAGGGGACCCCCGGACCACACCCCTTCCGTCCCGGGGGTGCCTCAACCTCCTCCAGTGCCCCGTGGGGTCCACACACTGCTCCCCACCTGCCTCCTTGGGGGGACCCCCCTCAGCGCCATCCGAGTCCGATGCCCACCTGACGAGACAGCTACGGGGGTGAAATGCAGGGGGTGCCCCCTCTCCCACCCACAGCTCACTCCTGAACCCTCACTTCCTGTCTCTGGGTTCTCCTCCTGGAGGCCTCCCTGCCCTCGCCCGCGACCAGCCCAGCCTGCTGGGACTCGGCCAGATACACAGGGACAGTGGCCCGTGTGGGGTCCATCTCAGGAGATTCACATGGACGGAGATTCGTCTCTTCCAGGACAGGCCCTGAACCCTAGATCTTGGCACCTGGACACGTGTTGGCTGAGATACGGTGGGGACATGGAGGGGGGGGGGGCAGAAGGCTGACCATGCCCCCTCCCCGCCCACGGCCTGGTGTCCCGTGGGTCCCCGTGGGTGGCTGTCAGCAGTGGAAACTGCACAGCTCCCTGGGGGCCTCTGGGTGAGCCTGTGATCCGCGGGGATCTATGCAGGCAGGCACAGCCTCTCCCAGGAGGCACAAGA